CTGGAAGGTAAGTTATTTATGTTTTTTTTTGTTTTAATTTGAACACTTGTAAATGTTTTATTATCAATTTCCATGTCAATAATATAAATTAAATTTACACTATATTCCATTTAGACAATATATAGTAAAGATATTTACATTATCATTGGTGTTTGATAATTTATAAGATAGTAAACAAATTAGAAATATAATTCGTCAGTAAGTGGCTAATAAATTTAATATGTATCATATAAAGGTTATAATGAGTTTTCAGAAATTAACTATACTTTACTTGAGGATGGCAATATTGTAAGGGTTGTCTCCCTTGCTGTGATTTTACTTCAGTACTAAATATTGATTACTTCCCTTGAGTGTCAATTTCCAGTTGACCACAGAAAATATAAATTATTCATAGCATACAATTATGCAGGGACTAATGCAAACCTAGCTTACTGTTCACTTAAGTGACCCTTGAAGTATTCAAAACACCAGTTTTCATTGGTGAAAGAATTACTTTATATTTTTAGTTGACCTGTCAGGTGACCTGGTAACTAACTCCAACATAATTCTCGAAGGGCAAAATTCATCTAACTGTAGAGTGTCACAGCCTAGTCAAAAGCCAGGATACCAATCACTGCCGACTTGGGCTAATACAATTCTGGATAAACTGAAAGGTCTCGGAGGAAAAATAAACTACATTAACAAGAACATTGAGTGACTACAGATCGTTGAGAATAACTGTGTTGTTTCGGAGTCTGAAACACGTAACATAAGTGGTTATGTTGCTGCTTTAAATGATGAGATCAAGGCCCTGCTCACCAGGATCACTAATGTTGAGTCGTCATATACGAGAGTCGGGGATCGTGTGAGGGTACTGGAGAGGTAGCACATGCAGTATAGGGATGATATAATTGACCTAAAATCAAGGTCAATGCGGGATAACTTAGTTTTGACGGAATACCTGTTGGAGCGAACTAGCGGTGTCGAATCAGCGGTTCGGGAGTTTGTGTTCGCCAAAATCGAAATATCCATTGACCGTGCTCATCGTTTTGGAAAAGAACACAGAGGAAATCCGAGACGTAGTGTGGTGAAATTTACAAGTTACAAGGACAAAGAAGAAGTCCGTTCATGCTCAAAGAATTTGAAAGGCTCAAACTTGTTTGTGTACGAGCAATATCCAAACGAAATATTGGAACAGCGCAGAGTGTTAGTACAGGTTACGGAGAATAAAAGGAGCCAGGATTCGTCAGCGAGAATGAAGTTGGTGTATAACAAACTTTATATCAACGGAGTATTATATAAACCCTTATAGGTGACACACTGGGCAGTGACGTCAGCCATAGTCAAAAGTATAGTGACGCTACTAGGACATCCGCCCGAGCCTCGGCAGCGTCATCTTATCCGACCAATCGACAGTCTCCGACAACGTCATCTGGATCGCCCAATGGACAGCCTCTGCCGACAGCATTTTATGACAAGGAGTGAAATTGTTTTACATTGTTTAGCCTCCGTTATCTTGTGTATAATTAATTTTACTATGTTTAACACATGTATGTTATGACTCCTATAAGCTGTACTGCTTTTGGAATAAACTAAATTGAATTGAATGACATTGCAGACAATTTAATAAGCGTTTCTCGTCTTTTTGCTGATGACACGTCCATGATAAATAGCTCTTTATCGTGTAGATATATTGAATTAATAATGAATAAGGACTTGACTGTTTGCGGGGGTGGGCGCAAAAATAGCTTATCAAATTTAACCCAGAAAAGAATAAAGTGCTATTTTTATCTAACATTGACACTGATTATGTAATTGATCTTGATTTTAATAGTTCCCCTTTGTAATTTGTAGATATGCATAGACATTTAGGCCTTATTTTTTGGCTCTGATGCTAAACAGGGAGATCACACTGAAAGTATTTATAAGTCTGTCTCAAAAAAGGTAAATTCATTAAAACAATTGAAATTTATTTTAAATAAAACAACTTTGTCACAAAAATGCACTAGCTTTATTTTACCCACTTTAGAATACGTATGTGAAGTGTGGAGTGGCTGCTCTACATAGCGACCTTCTTGAAAAACTGCAACAAGAAGCGGCACGCACTGCATCAGGTTTACCTATATATGTAAGTAGAGAACCTTTAAATTTTGAAACGGGTTGGGAAACTCTAAAAGACATAAGAGAACGGAAAAAAACTTGCTGTACAAAATGCACCATAAAATAACGCCTGTGTATCTATACTCATTACTCCCCCCGCTATCTAGAGAACACAACCCGTATGCATTAAGAAATATTGAAAACTATCTAATTCAAAATCACAGACTAGCAGGGTCCCAGTCGTCTTTTAATCCATCTACTATACGTGTATGGAATAATCTTACAGTAGATATAAGAAACCTGCTTTCCGTCTCAAGGTTTAAAAAGCTACCACTTCAGAACATTCTAAACTCCTACATATTCTAACCAAGGAACGAGATACATACATACTACATACAAAGCTGAGACATAATTGTAGTGCGTTAAAAATGATTTATTTAGAGTTAGTCTTGTTTAAAGTCCGGAATGCTTGTGCGGAAACCCATGTGAAAATGCGTTTCACTATTTATTTGACTGTCCTTTATATGTTAATGAAAGAAGCAAAATGTATAATAAACATAGACCTTACACTGTAATTAATTTGGAAGTACATTGTATTACTTTTTGGTAATGAGTCTTCCGAGTTAAATACTAAAACTATAATTGATAAATTGCACCCATAAATATATACCCCCGTAAACGTTTTAAACAATGAATAAAATAAAACACGATTGAATTGACTGAATAGGACCCCCTCTCTATACGTCTGTGTCACTCCCTCTGCCTCTCACATAATCTCTCTCTCTCACTCTTTCTTCACTCTCTCTGTGTCAAGCACTCTTTCAAATATCAAATAACCGAGAGAAATGTATTTTGTTTTTGCAAACCTTTCATCCATTCTTAGTTTAACTTATTCATTTATATATATATATTGATGTATTGTCGCCTTTAAAATGTTTTGTGTAATAACTGTTGAGGAGAGGGCTTTAATAATTTTGTACAAACTTGTGCCCGATCCTATTGCTGTAAAAATAAAAAGCAATAAAATATGTTTAAACTAATCAGCTTCGTATAGCAACTGGGAAAATCGAGTAGAAGGTAAAATGCAATGAACAACTCTAAGAGATATATAGTGTAGTTGACTAGACAATGTTTTATGATTTGAATGGAGATACGTGTTATCTCACTAGAAAATTTAAATCGGCTATACAATAAAAGGGAAGGAACTCGAAAACAGAAAGCAATTAACTTTATCTATTTTACAACAATTATGAAGCAAGTTCTTAAAACTTAAATAAATCACGCCTGTGGGCTAAGTTTATTTTTTCTCGTTTCCCCCCAACAAAAATACTTCCGCTACAGAAACTCGAAAGCTTAACCTCGTGATTATAAAGCTGGGATCTTATCCGCTACACAAACCTGTAATGGTATATGTTGTACTGATGTTTAGAATTTGTAAAATAAAGAGTCATGACGTTCTATAGAAGCCAACAAGCTATGTTTGTATTCATATCAATACATCTAGGAAATTGTTGCCGGAAATCCGTTGTTTAAGTATAATTTAATGGTATTTTTCAGTGATTGGGTAATTGCAGATCATTTTGTAATGAAAAAAAAAGTCTTTATGATTTGTAGAGCCTCGGGAATCCAGCCACCATTAATCCAGCTGTTCCACTAATCCACCTCGTTAATCCGGCTACCATTAGTCCGGCTGTTCCACTATCCCACACCGTTAATCCAGCTTCCACTAATCCAGTTCAACTATTCGACCTTATTAACCTGGCTACCACTAATCCGGTTGTCCCTCTATCCCACCTCGTTAATCCAGGTACCACTAATCCGGCTGTTCTATTATCCTACCTCGTTAATCTAGCTACCACTAATCCGGTTGACCCTCTATCCCACCTCGTTAATCCAGGTACCACTAATCCGGCTGTTCTACTATCCTACCTCGTTAATCTAGCTACCACTAACCCGGTTGTCCATATACTCCATCTCGTTCATCCTCCTACCACTAATTCGATCGTTCCACCATCCAGCCACCACTAATTCGATCGTTCAATTATATAGCATCGTTAATCCCTATAATCTAATAATTTGTAGAGCCTCGTTAATCATCCTACCACTTATTCGGCTGTTCCACTATCCCACCTCCTCGTTAATCCAGCTGCACGTATCCGGTTTTCTCGTTAACCAGACTCGTTCATCATGCCATTACTTATCCGGTTGTTCAATTATCCGGCTGTCCCATTATCTAGTCTTGTTATTCCGTCCAGTACTAATCCGTTTGGCCCTCTAATAAAATATCAATAGTCCGGATATCTCGTACCCCATCAATGTTAAGATGACACATTTAACTTGATACCATTTACCGTCAAAAAAATCACAGATGAACACGGGACCTACCAAATGACGATTCGGCAATTTACCAATGTAAAGCTATCCACGAATTGTAAATGGGAAGAATCAAAATGAGAGATGAATACCATGCAAAATAGAAGTCATCCTTAGCAAGAAAGAAACCTACTTTTCTCTTGTTCTACCTTCTATACAATAGGGAGAATATTCGGTGAAAAAACCCGCAGATAAAATCATGTGGAACTCTTCTTCGCGGACCTTCACTGGTGTAAATTTGTTTAACGCAGATGTACCCTTAAGGTTTGTATAGCTATTAAGTCTCGCTTTTCTATGTAAAAAATAAATTGCATTTGTACAAATAAAGAAATATAGTTTCTATTCACTTGATATCGTTCATTTCGTCAATAGCTAATGGTCATTCTTCTCACATATTTTTCTACACGATGCGATGGCTATTTCACGTTCAGACGTAGTCACGTTCAACCAGACTCTTGTTGTCTGCGCATGCTACGCCGAACAGAGAATTACAAGTGATCAAGCGTCTGGTTGAACGAGACTAGTTCAGACAGAACATACTCTCTGGGAGTATCGCTTCGTCTTGTTTATTGATTCAGCTATTGTGTGAATACTTGTTGAAATTGCATTCACAATACACAAATAATTTAACAAAGATGTTCTGTTAACTAAATAGTTTATTGTTCATAACTGAAGTGTTCGAACAAAGTGTAGTCATAACAAACATATGTCCTCGAGAGGGTATCAATGACCACGTGATAACAAAGGAATACTGATTATCGGTTAAAATTAAAAATTCAACTTTTGTCTTCAAAGTATCAAACTTGTTATTAAAGTCTTATAGACCGGACACTACAATAACGACGTCATGTATTCATTGATGAATAAACTCATAGATGTTCACTCTTATTGAAAGGACACAGAATTTATTCATATAGCACGTGACAAGCGTGAACCAATGGGAATGTGATCAGATTCTACGTGGACTGTGGTTGTGATTTGTGTAATATTATACTATTATGCCATGGACGGTGTCGGTGAATTATCTCCCCTTAGAATTAAAACGGTTCACGTGTAGTCGTTTCAGTCTATCACAGATTCGTTGGAGGATTCCGGCGCTGTCACGTGGATATCAATATTTCGAGAAGTCGTATTGCGCTTGCGCAGTAAAGGCACGCAAGCCCCTCCGGATACTAGGTACATACAACCAGTCAAGGCAAATGGGTAGACGTAAGATTGTGTCTGGTCGAACAGGAAGCCTGCAGATAGAAAACATCAAGGAGCGGTTGTCAGTACATAATCATGTAGTGATACAATGTAAAGTAGCATGCTTCCTCGGGGATTCATGTCCCACAGCACTGTGGCGTATACATTGTCTACAGTAACCTCCCTTTAACTTCCGTTAGGATATACGAAACTGCCAAAGAGTTGGACAATGACACTTCCGATGACCAGGTAGCTCATGATCAGTTCGTTGGAGCGATAGTAACACAGTCTGAAGTCCAGGGTTCGAATCTCCATCTAGCCCCGCTGAATGTTACACTCTAAACACTGTTACTATAGTCATGCCTGGGGGAAGTTTCCAATTCGCAATTACAGATTTTGACAGTGGTACGGGGATCTTCAAGCTCTATAAATCAATGGACATGGATTTCATAATCTACCTCGGCTTAGGATTCTGTATCATCCCGACCTCGGCTTACACCTCGGTTGGGATTTTGTTTCAGAATCTTAGCCCTCGACTGAAATAACCCGATCTCGCTCACTTACAGGTAATATATTTTATTGGCCATTCACTTATTCATAAAATGTTTAAAGGGAAATTTAAAGCAGACGTGAAGCTGGAAGGCAACCGTAATCATATATGCAATAAAAAAAACCTGCCACATCAGGAAATGAAGCGCGTTATTGTTTTACTTAGGTAAGGGAAATAACTCTTGCTTGTCAGGACACACTCTATATATCACGTGACCTACCTGCTAATGGTGGATTGATGATGAAACCGATTCCCTGGAACAAAGCGATCAGTCCAAATGACCGGGTCAGTTTGTCGATCCCCAGATGGTCAGCCAGAACGATTGTCCGGAGAGAGACGGAGGACGCTGAAAGATAGAATGTAAAAAGGATAAATCAGACAAATCAAGAATAATTTGTTGCCACGGAAAAATGCATCAGAACAGGAATATGCCAGTCTGAGATTTCGTATACTTAGTTTTTTTCTGTTTTTGTTTTCCAGTGGTACAGGGATCCTTGAAACCTAACAAACGTAGAATTACTAGAACAGTTAGTGAGGTTATACTTTTAATGCTTTTACACTGAATGGAACAGCGTAAACGTGCACGTGTACGTTTTAATTATATAAACACGTGATGTCGGATACTACAACACAAATATGGTAGATTTGTTCAAATCTTTCTTTTTCAAAAAAAATAACAACCGGTTAAAGTAGTTAATGTATCAATGTGAAAGGTAACGACGGTTTCGTTTCCTAAAAGTATTATAAACTTACATGCAAATCCTTGCTATAACAAAAACTTTCAAACATATTGCTCCCTGCAACCCAACCCTCGATACCCCAGGGGTTACACTTCCTTTAGCTCTCTGCAACCCGACCCTCGATACCCCATGGGTTACGCTTACTTTCGCTCTCTGCAACCAAACCCTCGATACCCCAGGGGTAAAGCTTACTTTCGCTCTCTGCAACCCAACCCTCGATACTCCAGGGGTTACGCTTACTTTCGCTCTCTGCAACCCAATCTTCGATACCCCAGGGGTTACGCTTACTTTCGCTCTCTGCAACCCAACCCTCGATACTCCAGGAGTTACGCTCACTTTCGCTCTCTGCAACCCTGGAATATGTCATAGCAAAATTGAAGGCACGAAGATAGTTGTTTGATTGGTCTCGGGTAAAATAAACCCTAGGCTGATACCTGTCCTTCGAAGAATACAAATGAGCGACATCCGACTCAAAGCCTGTCAATTTTTACCGTCACGGGGCCCCGATGTTCATCATATGATTGAACTAGTCTTTTTGTCCCATCAACAAGATGGTGCACACTGAGCCTTCAATTTTTCTATGACATATTCTATAGGTGCAGAGAGCGAAAGTGGACATAACCCCTAGAGTATCGAGTATACCGTCGGCGTATAACTTACCCATACAGAAGCCAAATAGCCCAGCGCATATCGCAAAGAGGTAGAAACTATTGCAGAAAGGCAACAGGAAGTTGACAACTGCCGCCACGAATAGTGCGCATGCGTAAATGTGGATACTTTTCACGTGGAGACAGTCAGTGATAAAACCGGAAACAAGTCTCCCGATGATGTTAGTGATACCAACAATGGAAATCAAAAAGGCGCATTGGCTTCTGGGAAGTCCTTTCGAAAAAGCCATATCCGGGAGGTAGGTAAGGGAGACAATTTGAGCTGGAAAAAATCGACATTGACATTACTTTCGAATATATGAACGCTTAACCACGGAATTAGATTAGATGTTATATAAGTCCTTAGCTTAACTAAGTCTAAACAATTGATTTGTTAATAAAAATAATACAATCTATAAACACTTACGTTACAGAGATAGAAATCGGAAATTTGGACAAGAAACATGACAATTTATACAACATGTACCAAATAAACTACAACTAGTCTGCAGATATTTTCGAATCATGATTTCTTGAGCAAAGTTTCAAATTAGGATCAGTAAGACAAAGATTTCAGCTTGGAGGTATAGCCTACGCCGATCCGTCTGATATTTGTTGATGGTATTTTTCAATAAAATGGATTCGACGCATGGAAACATAAAACAAGGAAACTCACGTGCTGCATCAGTAGTGAAACATGTTTTTGAAAATTACTTGTTTGACCAATTCTAAATCTTAGTCTGAAATCGGACTTTTGCAGGTTAAGAACGATGGAAATAACCGACTAGGATTTGACCCCTGGTCATCTCATCACAACTGTCGCACTGACGAACTAAATCACCTATCAAACCAACAAGAATTATATCCAAAATAACAAAAATACTGTCGGTACGAAAAAGATCTGTGGGATTATTAATAAAATTTTATAATTCTATCTAGTTATGTAATAAATATTCAACATATATATTCAAACGATCAATACCAAACTTTGGGAGTTATCGTGTCCATTTAAAAAAAGCAACACCTCGATAAAATAAGAAAATTTGATGAACGCCTGACTTAGATATATGCAATTAAATATTTACATAATCACTGTTTTCAACAAATTTGACACCATGAATTTTTGCGTTATTGGTTCAATTAAAACATTGAAAACCTGGAAATTTGTTTACGATATTTTAATGAATTTTAAAACACTACGTTAAATGACTTAAAACTGGTGATGATAATAATGAAAAAAAAAGGAAATTAATCAGAAAGGCAACGTTTACGTGAGATTGAATACATGACAGAAAATCAAAACACAAACGTGTTGTACTAAAGTTAGGACAAATGGATGAAGGCAGATGAATTTTAAATTAAGGCTATCGTTATAAATAGAATCGCGTGCAGGTTTCCCGAATACTGAGCCATTCATGATCAGTTGTAGATAATAATAAACATAGTAAACGCAATACTTATTAAAAAAAACCTAAAAAAAACCCTATTATTATTCTTCTTGTTTCCTTATTTAAGAAAATTTTATAAACAGAATAATGCAGTTACAATGATTGAGTCGGGCGCTACAAATATATCATTTTTAGAATTAAGGACGGGTTCCCGCTGTTCCATTTGTACGGTAAAAGGACTGGTATACTTTCAAATTCAGGGATTTTAATGGGTTACCTTACGTCCAAGTAAACAATAAATACCAACGTGGTATATTCTCACTAAATGTTTTACTGTTTTTGTTGAAAGGGCTTACAAAATAAACATAACAATTATTTGACTTAATACGACTCCTTGTAATAGACCCAGATTAAATGCGAAACATTTTTTTTATTATTCCAGCACTTGCTTTCAAAATTTTCTCACATCAGTGGTAGTTACAGAAAGATAAAAATAACGTTATATCAAAAAATAAATATCAACGCTTTTAAGTCTTTTAAATCACCGAAAACACATAGGAACCTTTTTTTTACTGAAAATAAAGTTGAAACATAAATACATATCTAGGCGTAATTGTTCATATAAAATAAATGATTTGTAAAGAAATACACAATAGATACATTCTACAGTGTTTACAAACAATATCTGATCATTTTAAAAAGTCAAATGTAAATATCTGAGTTATCTCCCCTACTTGATGTATGGTCCCTACATTCCATACCCCGTTAATTTACGTGGCTGGAGAACGATAAGATCACGTGACCCTGGTTTCTCGCTTTTGCGTCTTTCCAGTTACCAAGCAACAGCTGAAATGAAAATTGCGACTGTGCAAAACTATATGTTATCAAACTAAAATATAAAATTCCAAGTGCCCAGCTGATTCGGTGTGGTCACAAAAATTCGGGAACATTCTCAGAAAAATGGATATCAAGCAAATCAAGCGATAAACCATCCTCGAAATGCAGGGGTTCCGAAACGCTCACTAACTCTCTCTACATCCCTGGAATATATAATAGCAACACTGTAGACCAATTAAACAGCTATGTTCGTGCCTTTAATTTTGCTATGACATGACATGCAGAGAGCGTAAGTGAGCGAAACCCCTGGATATCGAGGATGGCGATAAACTGGCTCAGTGTTCTATCTGTATTACTACCTGAGCTGGTTTTCCCTTTACTGTAGAACATGATGTTTACATATATTTGACAAATAAGAATTTGAATTAATTGGAAACAAGGTTAGTTACAGCTACGGAACAGTAAATTTTGTCGGCAAATACCCAAATGTCGTTGGCAACACAATATGAAATGGCGTTTAGTATAATCTGCATTTAGTAATTGTTCTCGCTGTTTTAGTCCCGTAGTTTATTTGTTTGGGGTTTAGCGTCTTCATATCAAAGGTCATATGAGGATGGTACCACAGTAGACACTGCCGATAATAGAAATATTGTTGAATACGAAAATTGACACGTATTGCAATAGGTATAATAAACTTTATTTATTTTACAATAATTATGAAACAAGTTATTCAACTTATATTAATCACTCTTGTTGGCCCGGATGTTAGCGCGCGGGGGGTGTCTTTGTGTGGGAGGAAACCGGAGTACCCGGAGAAAACCAACGTTGTCGGGCAGGTGACCCACTACATTTTCACGTCCGATCGGAGAATCGAACCCCGGCCGCCTTTGTGTAAGGCAAGTGCGCTATCCACTGCACCACCGACCACCCTTTGCAATAGGTACAGCAGATAATTGTTTTGTTCATTGATAGAAGACATAGAAGAAACCGCCCTAGAGTACTGTACTACTGCACTGTAACGTAAAAATTATCACCGAGGCGCGTTCGTATCAATCTTTTTTACTAAAACGTGAGGCAAGAAAGCTCACACATCTCGAATTGTAGGCTGATTTTTTTGAGTATTTCTCTCTGAATTGAACTAATTTCGGAATTGATATTTATATATGCGGTCATTTCAGAACAGTTTGTATACCCCCCAATGTAAAATTTTAAAATTTAAAGGGTATTTCTCCTTATTTTTTTTATTTTTATTTTTTTATTATTTTTCATATAACCTTTGTTTTTGAAATATCGGATAGTTTTTTTCAATGAAATACATATACTTGCTAACTTACGACATTTGGAAACGAACCGTAAATGAAAACAGGACTTTCTTTCTGAAAGATATTGGCATTGTTATGGTATACAGTCAAGCAACGATACTAGATGTACAATGGTTACGACTGAGTAAACAAAGGGTGAATTAATACTGATATAGAAAATAGCGGACAAAAAAAAATTAGATAACCGAATATATTCCTGCGTTTTAAGATTTAACATCAATGATATCAATCTTACCCGTCCACGTTGTCATACAAATCATTAACAGTAGGAATGTGGGATCCTTCAGCAGTTCCAAGCAGAAAACATCATTTTTGTCGATTCCGAAACAAGGTCGCAGTGACCTAGTTTCATCGTCGTCTTTGGTCAGCGTCACCATTGCAGATTTAAAATCTCGCGCAGATTGAACTTCCGGTATATGTTGAATACTTCCACTATAGAATACATCTTTTCTTTTCATCGGTTTCAGCAGTCGTAGGTTTATTATTTGAGCTGACGTCATAGGTGGCGTGACGTCACCGTGTCGCCGTGTTAAGTCAATTGCGCTTGTAAATTGACGTGATTTTCGTTGGAGATTTTCGTCGGTTGGAATGATGATGTCAGAATTCCTGCTAAGAACTAACGTATCAAGTTTATCTAAGCCTAATGGTACGCTGCATATAGTGTATTCTTTCGTTTCTGGTCCGTCCTTACCGATATAATCACTACTCAACCTACACTTCCGGTCCAAGATGTTTTCAATGACATCTGGGTAATCTGATAACTCCCTAGATGGCGTTTTATATTTACAGTAGTCTTTCCTGGGAGAATTTACTCTGTTTCTTGGTAACAAAGGCCGAAATATCATCCCACAAACAAGCACGTGTAATAAAATTCCCGCCAAAATGAGAACGGTACCTCTCCATCCATATGTGGAAAGTAGGGCGTCTGTCAGATAAGCGTAGGCAAACGTTCCCAAACCGGAACCGCTAGTTGCGATTCCTGTCGCCAGGGCGCGCTTCCTATCGAAGTAAAGTCCAACAACAATAATGGCAGGAAAAAACATCATACAAAAACCGATACCTGAAAGAAGAAATAAAATATATTTATAAAATAGTTAAATCGATGATCATGTTCTCTATATGGAGGATCTTACATGATTGTCCATGGACACGAATATAAGATTCTATTCATCAAATTACATTCATAATTTGAAGAAAAAAACTACAAACAACATTCTGTGTTATCAGCTGACTCTATAAAAGTGAAAACCAAAGTACTCCGAGCATAGCATTGTCGTTCACGTATTGAAAGTAGTTCTAGTTTTATTTTTAATATTCAATTATTTTAAATGCATTGAAAATAATAATGACAATATAAACATTTATAATTCATTTAAATAACAGTAAATGCGATATATTTAATAAAAGCAGTGCTTATAGTGGCGGAGGGATATGTTCCAACGATTTTGACCAATCGCAGCACCTTTAGGTTTTATTACACGTATTTATGGTATGGCCGTATGACATAGTAAAGTCAGTTATGTGATACTTAGATGTATTGTTCTTCGTTTTCTTGGATTTGTTATCTTAATACCACAAATACAATCAAGCTCTGATGACGTTACTTAAAAAACCCTTTTGATTAACTGTATTTTATAGTTAATGAAATATGCCAAAAATAGTTTTCCATTCTTGAAATACATATTCTAATATGCATAAACGTAGCGGTCAAAACACAAATCAAAAATGCCCCCGTCAAACTTATTATGACGTCATACGTACCACCTATGACGCCGTAGGTGATTATTAGAAGTTCGATGTTTGGGGAGAAAATGGAAATGATGAAACCAATTGAGGCGACGAAAGCTCCCATAATCGTCACGGCTCTGATCGATAGTTTCCGTAACAGCAGGCTCACGAGCGGTCCTGTGACGTCACACACAAAAAGCAAAATAAGATAATGGCAAGCATTGAACTACCTTTAGTTAGCATTCAAAGTCATGCTGGGTTTTTTTTTAAGTTAAAGTCGGCATATATAATTACCATGATACACAAAGCAGTTCAATATATTTATCTTTATATTGTATGTGGGAAAGCCAATAGGTTTTCAAATCTGCCATTATGACGTCATAATAATGATGACGTTAACGAGAAGACATCATTATGGTATTTAAAATTTGTTATCATTGTCAGTAAATGCCTCAAGTACCTTTATCGGAAAGGCCAAGCATGGTGGGAATATGGCCATGCTTTGTTGCTGTAGTTGCTAATAGTTACATGTGAAGTTTGTTAAAATGTTTATGGCTGATTGTGATAAAACTTATGACGCACTTTCTGCTGAGTCGTCCAAAAATTAAGTAAATAAGATAAATAAAAACAGAGATATTCGAAATAAATAGCACTATTGTCAACAACATCCTGTCCTATACGTTATTTATCCGTACACTGTGTATAACTCTATAGATGACTTGCACAATATCAAGTTTAGATTTTGTTATATTCTTGGACGACTCGGCAACATCGTGAGACGATGTAAACATTGTGAAAACAAGTTTGATCTCTGGTTCATAATCTCAAAAACTGAATTGAAGAAACCGTTGTTTAAATGAATTCCTGTTGTATGTGTTTTACTTCTCAAATATTGAACGGTATTAGAAACACAGTATCTTTAAGGTTCTAAATTCAAAATTTTAAGTCAAATTCAATTATTACAAATTTTAGAAAACTTAAATTTCTTAACCTTATTTTGGACATACCTAAATAGTTCAGTATCTTTGTCTACGGCGACCTTTCTGAGTCCAAATAGTAGTGAATGTAAATCAATTTGAACATTGAAATTTATAACAACAATATTTTGGACAGGCATATTTTTTTTACAATGTTACCATTACCAGGAGATAACCCATATACCTACCCATCATCATACTCATTCCTACAAGAGCCGACCCGACCCAGGAAGTCTTTGATTTTGTTTCGCCGAAAAACTCTAACAGATCAATCAGCAGCACTCCAAAAGAAAACATAGTCCCATCAAGTACAAAGTTAGTAATGAAACTTCCGAAACAGACCACCCAGCCCCAGCCTCCATCTGGCGCAAGCATTTCCGCTTCAGGTAGTGAGTCGGAACCGGAACCGGAACCGGAAGACGACATCCCTGATACCCCAGAATCGTCTGCATTGTTGATTACTTTCTCTTTTTCCTGTTCCATTTTAGTGATTTTGGTTTAGATAATCTTTCACCATTTCCTGAAAAAAGTGGGATGTTACCTGGTCAATTACGATAACTTATTTTGCTATTTGTGCATAGGAGACTGAAATACAAAATCCTTTAATCCAAACATCAACTTTTGAAGAATGTTCACTGAAATTCTAACCCCTATTTGTGTAATCGAAATTGCTATAAAAGTCTGAACTGATAATTGGGGGATGTAACAAGATTAGGAAGCATGTTGCAAGTTCATCCTCAGTTCAAGCTTTTTTGTGAAGGGACCAATGGTGCGCAACAATTTTAACTCATTAGGTCAGGTTTCAGAATGTATTTCATAAGTTTTCACTGTCAACTATTGATTTGTGTTTTTTTGGGGTTTTTTTCGAAATGAAAACAAACAATATCTTAAAGTAAGAGTTGTAAGTACAATGGAAAAATAATTGTGCTCCATTCTGTCTTGTGTTACAAATCTTACAAAGACGAAATTGCCGATAATTGCCGATAATATTTTTTCAGATATTTATGAAAATATAAGGAAAGACAACTCTGTTTAGAGATTTATCTCTGAGTGGAGAGAACGGAGTGTTGAGATCCGGTCAATGTTCGTCGTCGAAATTAGAAATAAGCTTCTTATTAAATCCGAGATTATAAGTCGTAATAACGAGATCCCGAATCGTCATTGTGATTAAGCTATCTTACGAGATTCCAAATCATTATGATAACGTAATTTGGATTCATCTATCTAGACTATTAGGAATGTCTTGGAAGTCGTAATTACGAGATTCCAAGTTGTTATGAGCATTATCCATCTTGTAACAATTCGGTCCATGCCAAATGCCATTAGCAGGCTTCCGTATACTATCAAAGCGATACGATCCCTTGTAGTACATGCATATCCAATCTTATCGATTTTTTGTTTGATACGTTTAGGACTTACATACATTACTGATGATTGATTTCATTTGGACCCGTATTTCATTTAGTACATCATCATACACAATTATAGTGCTACTAGAATGACTGGAAGCTTTAATATGTACATGTATAATGACGGAGCGTAAATCTCGCTTTGTTTGGAACCGTAAACTATGAAATGTCTCCTGGACCAGGAGTACTTATATCTCAATGCTCCCTAGATACGTATCTTATCCACACATCATAAATCAGTGATATTTTAATAATTATTAAAGTTGAAAGAAATACATTTCCTATTATTCAAAATAATCTATTCAAGATAGTAAGCATTCACTCATTTGTTCGTTCGTTTAATTCATGGGTTCGTTCATTTATTCATTCATTTATCATTCTTTCGTTCATTTATCATTCATTTATCGTTCATTTGTTCGTTCGTTCGATTGTTCGTTTTCATTCATTCATTTACATGTGTACTTATCTACCAGTTGAATCGCAAAAACATGTTTTTGCTTTTCAATGTTATGGTAGCGCGATCATTCACCCTTTCGTTTATTTAACCAGTCAACCGTCTGTCGATTTAAGATCGTGTTATATATACTTACATCTATAAAGACATACTTACATCTACATAGCAATTCTTTGTCCACACAGTCAAGCCTGAAACATCCCCAGTATTAAATTGGACCTAAATACCCGCAAAACAGCTAGGTGACAGGAACACACACTCCTATAAAGTCGAGTTACACACATATCCAAAACCCGGCTACATTATTAAACGAGAGTTTGCTTTCTGTAAAATCATACACCGCATACATTCATGTATCTATTGGTATGTATGTCGTGTTCAAACAGGTAAACTGATCGATAATTATATTCACGTGATGTTGTGGGTGGAGAAATGTGTTTATTGATCTGAAATCAATCAACCGTTTATGTTTTTTCTCATCAAAATGAAATGATTAATTGATAACTGGTGTTTTCATTTCTAAGTAGCTTTTTTAGTGTGAAGTTACTGACAATGGTAATGGATTCGCATGGATGGTATTCAGGTACTTTATTGACCGTATTCAGAAAAGGTATCGTGTACTTTTGATAAAAGTCATTACCTGCCAGATGCCGGCTGAGGGAACGGATTATTAAATAATAATAATAATATACAACATTTATATAGCGCCCTATATAATTTGTAAAATTACTCTAAACCGCTTTACAACATATGGATAATAGTAATGGTTATAATTGTGAAAACGAAAAACATACCAAAGGCTTGCAATCACTTTTATACATTTAAGCAAGCAATGTGCACATAGTTGAACAAAAAAAGGGTGGTATTTACATAACGTCTTTGCAAAGATTCTAAAATGCAGACGTGAAGAGGTGAGTTTTGATGTCCCTCTTGAACTTTGCCAGGGTATTGGACTTTTTAATTGCAGATGGTAGGCTATTCCACAACGAAGCCGAAACCCTTCCAAAGCATCTGTTTCCGTAGGTGACAGTACGAGATTTTGGGACACACATCAAAGATTCTGACTCCGACCGCAGTGATCGTGACGGCTGATACAGTNATTTTGTACTGCGACCTGTATCGTACAGGTAACCAGTGCAACGAATAAAGCGCAGGTGTGATGTGCTCTCTCTTTCGAGTACGAGTTACTAGCCGTGCTGCAGTGTTCTGGACCCTCTGCAGACGACTAGTTAGTTTGTCAGATATACCACAGAGCAGGGCGTTACCATAATCCAACCGAGAGGTAACAAGTGAATGCACCAAAATCTTGCATGCATCTGCAGTTAAAAACTGCCGAATACAGCCGATGTTCCTGATCTGGTAGTAACAGGATTTTGCAATTCATGCCTCAATTTATTATTCGAATATTTTTGTTCGCCGATTAGGTCTTATTAGTATTTTATACTTGTGATGTAGAAAATTTCAAATCAATTTATAATAAATGCTTGCAAGGGATACAACTCTAACGAAATTAAAATATATGCAAAGCAGAGTGACGCAACCCTTTAACCAGTTAAACACACCACTTGTTTACCTCGACTACAGGAGATTAAATAGAATCTTCCCCTTCATTGAAGTCGTGACATAGAAATCTCCAACCCGAGGGTTGATTTATTTGGTTGTCCTCTCCGAAACTCTGCCGAGTGTTAGACAAACAAATAATCACCCGAGAGTGGGAGATTTCTCTATTTCACCCTCAAGGTAGGGGATGATAATTTTCCCCCGTCCTACTATTTCAGTCACAGCTCCACCAACAGTAGTCATGATTGAATGTTCGCCATTCTCCTTTTATGACGTCACAATTTAGCGCGTGCTATTCTGCACTCCCTAGGGGGTGACAAGCTGAAAGTTTTCCAAATGTTCCACAGTCGAACTCTTAACACAAATAATATTTTCTCAATATCAAATTCTGAAAACAAGAGCTCCTTAAAAAGAATAATAAAAGATATCGGATATTTCGACCAGTCTGCATTTCTTGGTCATGATTTAAACTTGTGGTTACATTAACTAACAGACTGTGGGCACAATATCTATGCAACAAGGGAAAACCCGGATATCAAGGGGCCCGAAAACATTAAATACAGATGTTATGTCCCTAGATGGAAAAAAATACGTCTATAGCACTAACTTATCAGGGTTAATTAAAACGAACCCGGTGAAACTACCATCATACTTACGTGTGTTGATAATACTCAATGTTTACGATTTAATATAAAATAATTTCATCATCATTAAATAAATGTTAAATTCATAGTAAAATCAGGCTCTGGAGTTAAACAGAGTTGAATTTTAACGTTTCGCTAGATTAGATTTTATGAGAAAATATTTTGCCACTTTTCATTTTGTTGGTGTCATGATTTGAAATACACACAGGAATGTAAAGTTAGTTTATGAAGTATTGTCAGCTTAAACAAATATCAGGTTTTATATCACTTATACAAATTTTACCTTGATACAACAACGAAAAGCCTACAAGGCTTTCTCTTCTCACCATATAGAGCAAGATATATGTTAAACACGATCAACAAATATTTATTATCAGTTTGTTTTAATGCAAGTCGGTTTTATAAAGTTTGTTCAAGAAACCGAAACCATTTTATATTGATATAAATGGTTTGTAAGGTAGGCAATCTCGTGGTGGATAATGTATTCTAACGAGTGTATGGCTGAGTGGCGCAATAGATAGCACACTTGCCTTTCACCATGGTGGCTGGGGTCGATTCCTCGATCGGACGTGAAAAGGTATGGGGCAATTCCCAGACCACGAAGGTTTTCTCCGGGTACTCTGGTTTCTACCCAAATTAAGACCACTAGCGCGCTAACATCCGGGCCAACAATAACGATTAATGTACGTTTGTATTTCACATGCTTTGAGAACCGACAGAAATACGACACGTTACTTACTTTATTTGTTGGAGGTCTATCTTATATTAGTAAATGTCTTTATATCATACTAGCGAAAATCGTTTAAACATGGAGTGTTTCCCATACATACAGTATGTCATGCTATAATCGTTTTGATTATATTTTTATAAGTTTAACCAAATCTGAAGGCTGGTTTGGTGGCGCAACGGACAGCGCACTCGTCTTTCGTCAACGCGGCCGTGGTTCGATTCCTTGATCGGACGAGAAAAAGGATGGGGTTAACTGCCCGACCATGTGGGTTTTCTCCAGGTACTCGTGTTTGCTCTCAAATTAAAACGCCCTGCGCGCTTCCATCAACAGGAGTGATTAATATAAATACAACAAACGTGTTTCTCAATTGTTGTAGAAAAACTAGTTTCTATCATAATGAGAGTCACATACTGTTGACAACTCGCTACGGTTTTATGGTACTTCGGATTACTGCTATCAGAAAGTCAAAAACTCCAGCTAAATTCAAGAAGGATATAAAGACCCACCTTTTTACCTCTGCATTTTCGGCTCGTTTGCGCAGACGTCATGTACACTTCATCCCATATACCATGTATCTATATATGTATATGCAAATGACTTAGCTCAGCGATAGAGCGTCCGACTAGGAACCTAGGGATCGCGGGTTCGATCCCCATTGGAAGCACACTATTCTCTTTCCTGTTACAAATGGTGTCCATGACCCTCCCTGTTGTGACAGGGAGT